AATACTGCTGATTCAAGGAGATGGTTTGATCTCAAATCATTCAGTTATGCATATTTGTGCAATACTTTCAGAAACCGAAAGCTGTTGGCAACATTATTTTTTTTTCCTTTTTTTTTTTGCAAAAACCATCTTAAGTAGTTTAAGTGGAAGCATCTGTAACTTATGAGAACAATTTATTCCAAAGCTGTGTTTTCTTAAGATGTTGCAAAATTAAATTAATTGCAAAATCCACATAGTAATGAGCTGTGCTTTCATAAATGCAGCAGTAAATGTTTTTCTTAAAATACAAACAGATGTGGAAATTCTGCACTTGTACTGCAGTCATAATGGTGATGCCAAAGATTTAACATGCACAATTTTTTTTCTTGGGTTTTGATGTTATGACAGTGTGAGATCAATGTAAAATTGCCACTAAAGTAGATACCTATACACAACACATTTTCTTTTCTAATAGATAAACCATAATAGATAAACCATTTAAAAGGAACTTCCACATACTGGCCAATCAGTCTAAGTGCAAAAATATGTTTTCAAACAGATGGCCAGAACTTTATTCCAACCTCAAAATACAATTGATTATCAGCTTACAACAAACATAGTTAATTTGTGATATTTTGATTTTATGTTGGTAGAAAATATTATTTAACCTTCTGTCCATTAAAATAGACATTAGGCATCAATAGCTGTGTTCTCTGACTATTTTTTTTTGAAAAAGGATGGTGGGTGTTGAACATCCATCCATTTTTTCCATTCATTTTCTGTACGTCCATGTCCCTTAGTGGGATCGGGAAGGTTGCTGGTGCCTCTCTCCAGCTAACGTTCCAGGTGAGAGGCGGGGTCACCCCGGACAGGACGCCAGTCTGTCGCAGGACAACACAGAGACAAACAGGACAAACAACCATGCACACACACACACCAATGGAGAATTTAGAGAGACCAATTAACCTGACAGTCGTGTTTTTGGACTGGGAGGAAGCCGGAGCCGGGTGTTGAACATGTATGATAAAATTAAAAAACAAGACTTTTTTTTCTTTATTTTTGGCATTTGCTTCCACAGATCAGACTCAAATGATGGATAAGAAAGAAAATTCAAGTTTAACATAATTTCATCCAGTTTGGCTGGTGCAAGATGTAAAGTCTTTTAAATAAAATGGGCACACTTGAATGCTCAATCTCTTCTAAAATGTAGATTTTGAGTATTCTTGAGTTCTGAGGCAATGATGGGAGGAAAAATTCATTCTCATACATTTTTAAGGTTTCTTTGAAATAATATTCTATTGGTTTTGCTGTTAAGTTTGCAGTTGACAAACTGGCGAAACAGTATTAAATATGAGAGTGGAACAATCATGGAGTGGATAAACATTGTGGCTACATTTTCTGAAAAGTATCTGATTTGTTTAGATTTTGGAAGGACGACTTTTGTGCATGACCTTAATTTTCGATGTTTTAAATAAGCAGTTAGTACCTCACCTCAGTGTGCAACTCTTTGGAGCTGCTACTGCTGTCATGTTTGCATTCATTTCATCTTTTTCTTTTTTTTTTTTTTTTTTTTTTTAAACCACATACACATGCTGCTTCATGTGCTAAATACCACAGCCCCATGCAGCAGTATGTCCTACTTGATATATAATTCCTTCAATAACTCATATTATTCTAAGATTTAAGTTTGTTGCTAAGCTTGCCAGGAATTGACACAAAAAAGATAAAAACACAGCCACATACAGAAGTACACTTTGTAAACAAATAGTCATTTTATTATTTTTCACTGGGTGTTATCAATAAAGCTAGCTGTTCTATGGATGTGAGAAAGCACAGAAAGCAAGTTCCTCATGGTATAGACAAAGCGATTGCACAAACTAAGAAAGACCACAAGCCACGACATTCTAACTGCTCTAGTTGGCATGTCATTTCCATCTACAGAAAACTAAATGCTCAGTGGTGATCATTAAATAAATAAAATAATTAATGCAATCTGTTGGGAAAACTTTTGAAATTAGTTTATCATTTATATTTTCAATACCTGCAATCAAGTTCATTTCATTTAGTTCGCTGCTGTACAAAAGTATGTGAGAGATGTGGTGGACGGAAACTCTAACCACATTATTCTATGAGAGCTTGAGCTTGAGGTTGTCTCACCACAGCCAATGTCTAGACCGGTTTTGTTTTGTTCCATGATAGTTGGGTTAGTGTGAAGTACTTTCTGAAAACATTACGCAAATTGATACAGTTTTTGAGGAGTCCAAATGATTGGGTTGTGAAACCTTTCTGCTTTTCAAAATGGTGTTTCTGATCTCAGTTTATTGTGACTCGGTTGCAGGTTCCAAATATTTGCTCAATCCCAACTAATCAACAAAAGAAATAACAAATGAAAATTCATGGTCTATAGCCTTTCTTGTCCCAGGCCTCTAGATCTGAATAAACTTTGTGCTGAGGTAAACTGTTGTACTGTAAACATATCTTGCACAGGCTTTCCCTCCAGTCCCCACGAACTTTCACCTTCCAGTGTTTTTTCCAGTTAAAATATTCCTCATATCGCTTCCTGTCCTCTGCAAGTCTTTGAAGATATTTCCCCAGTTCCCGTACTGATGAAAACTCATCGACATGGATAAAAGAATGTTCTGGAGCCACAGCTTTGTAGTCACTTATTGGGGGTCCCAGTACCACTGGTACAGCCCCTCCTTTGTAAGCATTATGCCACAGCTTCTCAGTCACATAATCTTTTGCCAGAGAGTTCTCAAAAGCCAAATAAAAGTAGCAGCGAGAGATTGTTGTTAAGAGGTCTTCAGAGGAAAGCGGCATTTTATTCCAACGTCCATAAACCTTCACAGGATCTGTGGCACTGAGCTCTTTGTAGACTTGGCTTCTTCTGTGGTGGTTCCTGTAGTTGCTGACCACCCAGCAGACCAAAGAGGTCTTATTTATATGGCTGTCCTCCACCAGGTTACTTTCAGTCTCCAAAGGCAGCAGCTCACCATAAGGTATGGTAACATCAGCGTCTCTCCTGTAGGAAATGGTCATGTTGAAGATATTTGCAAACTTCTTCAAGTTTCCGTTGTGAGCAGGAGACTCCAGTGACATCCAGGCCCATCTCTGGCCTTGTGGCCGTGGGAGTTCGATTGGAAGCTGCTGGCTTCCCTGTATCAGTTCTCTGTTGTGGAACACCACAACATGAGCTGAGGGGAACAAGGAGCGCTGATCCACCAGTGTACAGTTTGGTATTTTGTACAGATCCAAGCACACATTTCCCTTAAGGGTTAACGTGTTGCTAAAAGGCCAGTACCAGATGAGAATGGTCACAGTCCCACTGCTTCTTGAATAACTGAAGTAGGAGAATTGAATTTCTTTGGGTAATCCACAATACAAGATAAAAAGCAAAGCCACAATGGTGCAGAAGATGATGCCATTCTTGATGGATCTGACCTCCATCTTTTTAGGAAGATCAGTTTCCTGTTTGGAAAAAAAATACCAGTTTTAGATTTGAAGTGTACTGTGCCATACATCTTTCACTTTTTAAAAATCAAATTACAACCACAAACTACAATGCTTTTGGCAGAATCTGAGACAAACACAAACTATTTAACAATTTGGAAGTACCAAGAAGAGCAGACGTGCTTCTCAAAATTTTTGAACAATAAAAATCTGAACTGTGCAGTCAGTATTTGTATTCAGCCTTTCGGATTTAGTTCTTCATATTTCATGCATTTCATGATACTCGCTTCCTAAAAAAAATTATGTATCATGTTAAATTATTCCTTCTTCAGAAACATATCTGGAGTTTTGCTTAGATTTTTTCGTGAATATTTGAGAAATCCTGAAAGGTGCATTTCCACTGGTATGTTTTGTACTAACTGGTTAATGTTTGGTTCAGTTGTACCACAATTAGTAAGCTTGTCTGGCACTCAGTATTGTGGGCAGGATGTGAGTGCGCAACAGCTGTTGTTACCTCTCTGCTGGTGTCTGCAGTGGCACTCAGTAATATCAAAAGATATAAACCGATACCCATATGGCATAGTTACTTTGGAACATAACTTTAATCGGATTGCTGATTACTCTTTGAAAATGTAACTTTGTTAAACTACTGACTACTTGATTTGAAAAATAACTAAGTTACATTAAAAGTAACTTTTTTAGTTACTTTCAGCAGCTGATAACAACAACGTTCCGCCACCTGTGAAAATTACATTGATCTTTTCCAATACTTAATTGGAAGTTATTTTATAATGTGTCTCCACTTATGTTTTACTGAAGGGGAGATTATTCAATGGTTGCAACAGCATAAAAAAAAAAAAAAACTTTAGTAATTTATGCATGTTTTTGTGTGTTCCAGTATTGTCTGGAAAACTGTAAATAGGATTCTAGTCCATAATCAGTAACCATGAATACGCTTGGCACGGCAGTGTGTATACTTTACACAACACATTGCAATTTTTCATCATTTTCTAAACCTGCAAAATGAATTTAATTCACCAGTCTGTCCAGCTAAGCTGAATACAATAAACATGAAGCCTAGAGAAAGCTTACATTTGAATTAAATTCATAATTTTTACCACTGTTATTTGGCTCCTGTCTAACCACTGCAAACTGCTGCAGAAAAGCAGTAGTGAGAATATATGATCAAAAGACACTAAAAAGATGCTAAAAGTAAAAACAGATATGTGCAAGCTATGTGAAAAGTGAGACCTCATAAATAACTCCTACCTGTATGGATTGTTGATTCCTCATCTTGTGAAGATCCTTTCACCTTTAGACGATGTGAGAAAAGTCCCAAGCTAATGATTACAGTAGTTGGTGTTGGTGAAGGAGGAAATGAGTCACAACCAGACACAAACCTGAGCCAGAGGAGTAAATTGTCCTAAATGTTTAAAAAATGTCCTGCATGACACACTTTCACATAGCTCAAAGGTTTTCTGTATGTCTGTGAATGAGTTTTACCATATACTTAAACAAGCTAAGTCTAATCATCGTTCTATTCTTACTGATACACATAAAGAGTTGCTTCTAATAGCTATATCAGATTACTGTAGTTCTCACATTTTCCCTTCTGTGTACCATCCAGGTCCTTTTATCAGTTCCAGGATCCAACCAAGACCCCTCAGTGTTATTACCTTGAGAAATAATGAGATTTAGTCAGATATAAAAAAGGCTTTAGTACCAGAAATGTTCAAATGTTACAAGTTGAACAAATGGAGCAGATATTCACGGTCCAGCACTCAGATTCACCTTCACCTTCGCTACAATGAAACAAACAATCTTTGCTTCATCTGGTTTGCTTCATTTGCTTCATTGTAGCGAAGCAAAGATTGTCGTGCGAGTTCTGTTTTTTTTATTCTTCTCCTCCTTCTGTGCCCTCCCCAGAGGGTAGTGTTAACCAGTTTCATTTTGTTTTTGTGTGGCAGTTGCCAGTCTTATGTGCTATGTGTGCATGTAAACACATAAAAAGATAGAGAAAAGAAACATTATCATTTTATCCATATCAGTACAAACCAAACCAAACCCAGACACTTGTAAAAAAAAAAAAAAATGAACGTTGTTAGGTGTCTCACTAAAGCTTTAGGGACTACAGAAAAACAGTTTCAGCAAGCAATGTGCTTTGAAGCTAATCTTGAAATTGCTGTGTGGCTTTTTGCAGTGATGACGAGTTTCATTTAGCTCGTAAAGCTGAACTGGTTTTGCCACCCCTGCCCTAGGGTCATACCACAGCATCTGAATGACATACTTAGCTTCATCAGTTTTACTGACTTGTCAAAATCCCAAACAGCATCAGACCAACACTCTACCATCACCATTTTTAAGTATCCATTAAATGTCATTTTTTGAAAAACACTGTGTCAGTTTTTGCACCAGATGTAACATGTGAAAATCTGTTTTATGACCTGAAACAAAATCTGTAGGAGAGCAAATACTTTTTCACAGCAGCATAAGGTTTGCTTGTTTGGTCTACGTTTATGCACAGGGAACTTCTTATGAACAAATTCTCACCCCCTTATTACTGCAGACTGTGCAACAATTAGATGTCCTGTTTACAGTTGTGGGCACCTGTGCACTGGATGTCTGCTGCTCCTCCAGAGTTACCAAAAAGGGTCTAGCCAGGTCTGTTAGTTTTAGTCGACAGATGCAAATTATGTCATAATCCTTCTTCTTTGGATGATAAATAGTTCAGTGCTTAGTTAAATTAAGAAGAGGGTACTCAGAAATGGATTCTGCATGAGTCTTTAAAAAACTGTGTGTCAATATCCTGATCATGTTTGACTTTTGAGCTTTTGGGATCGGCAATCTCATCGATACATCTCTCTTTTTCTCTGTATGTCTATCTCTGTTATTTTTTCCTTACTCAAAATGATGCAGATCCTCATTTATAGGATGTGTTAGAATATGAGAGAAAGAAAAGCTTTGTAATTACTGATCCACTATTTAAAAAGCACTTATTAAAGTTATTTGTAACAACTTTTGGATTTTTAATCTAAACATCATTCACAGTTATTTCAAGAGACTTGCGTTCTCCCTTACCATTTGCATTCTCTAGAGATGAGATGTTGGCTTTTCTTTGTCCATATTTATAACTCAGTAAACTTCAATCTATCAGTCTAGATCTTAAGTATTTCTCGAACCTCTAAATTTTAATAAGTTTATTCAGTTTTCATCTTACTATGGTAATTTGTTCCTCTTTTTAGGTCTATGCTTCCCCCTGCAGGCAAAGATGATCACTGCTTTAAATTTATTGATAACTCACAATTGGCATCTACTGAGTTAAAGCCTCACTCAATAGAGGCTTTCACTCAATATTCACCTGAATATTAATATTAGTATTAATATTCAGGTTAACTTACACACAACTGGACATTGCACAGTGATCTTGTGAACTCTGTGTCTTTGTTCTTCCACTTCACATTTGTTCACCCGACTTGTGTTTATCAAAATAAAATCCCAATAAAACACCTTGAAGTTTATGGTTATAATGTGAGACCATTTCAAAAAGGCTCTTACACATGGCCAGGTGAAATGAATTGGATTCAAGTAGCTGAAATAAGATTCCTTGGTGGGGCTTGGAGATGGAAAGTAACAGAGGGTGAGGAGCTCTGTTATCATTTTGGAACTGGTCAGACTTGAAGTGATGGGGAGCCCATCTTTTTCCAGAGGTCACAAAGCACCTCTCGACTTTGTGCATCCATGGATTTCAAGCTAGACCAGCAAAATGGAGAGAAGAAAAACCACCTGACTGCCTGTCCTTGCCATTTAACTAAGTAAAACAAGGGTTTTGAATATAATAGAAACTATAACTTATGATACTGTGAGCTAAACCTGGTATGAAAATACATGCTTGTCTTTTTAAATAGTAGATCTTCACAAGTTTTCAGTTGATTTTACATCTGCTTTGCTTAGTCTCAATATAATTTTCAATAAAGCAGCAAATGAATGGAAACTGAGGAAGCCTTTGACTTCATGTCGATTAGCTCCACCTACTGGTGGAAAAAGAGATAGCAGTTTGTAACGTCTTTTTTCCCCCACATCACCAAGACTATATCATAATATATATTTCTTCTCTTTTTATATACCTTCTTCTAAACAGCACAACTTTATTATTATTAATAGTTATTTTAGTTATTTCCCCCCTAACTCAGCACAATTTCTGGTTAACCACACCATGACTTTTGCAGAAACGGGTTTCAACACTTTCAAAAATAAAGGAACATGTCAGCAAAAAAAAAAAAAAAAAAAAAAAAAAATTTTAAAAATTTTTCCCCTTTGGTTTGAAAAAGTTGTACCCC